CTCGCCTCACGCCAGTTTGGTTCTTCCTCCGACAATTTGCAGAGTGTAATACTGTCTCACCTCTGTTCAGTGTCCTCCATAAATTTTTATTCCCTAACAGGATTTAATATGCAGTCTTCGAGCTGGTGAAATAATACATCCCACCGAGGTAAACAAATTAAATCACAAATTTTTTTCATTTAGCAATATCCTCTCATTTGTGTCACTTCCATACAAGTACAGCCATTAGCATTGGCGCTCGGTAAACCAGTCAGGGTATGTCGGCGACGTCCTCATTAAGTAAAAAGGGAATTATACGCTTAAATCATAACACAGTATTAGGGACCATAAAACAGCTTTGGGTCTATAATACAATATTAGGTACCAAAACATAGTATTAGGGACCAAAACACAGTATTAGGGACCATATTACAGTATTAGGGACCAAAACACAGTATTTTGGACTATGATACTGTATTAGGAACCAAAGCACATTATTAGGGACCATATTACACTATTAGGGACAAAAACACAGAATTAGGGATCATAAAAAAGTATTAGGGATCATAACAAAGTATTAGGGACAATAACACAGTATTAGGGACCATAACACAGTATTAGGAACCAAAACACATTATTAGGGACCATATTACAATATTAGGGACAAAAACACAGTATTAGGGATCATAACACAGTATTAGGGATCATAACACAGTATTAGGGACCATAACACACTATTGGGGATCATAACAGAGTATTAGGAACCATAACTCAGTATTAGGGATCATAACACTGTATTAGGGATCATAATACAGTATTGGGAACTAGAGATAGTGTAAGGATGCAGTGTGAGAAGCCGGAAACAGTGAGGGACCAGAGGACAGTGCGAAGGGTCAGAAGACAGTATGAGGGACCAGGAGACAGTGTGAGGGACCAGGAGACAGTGTGAGGGACCAGGAGACAGTGTGAGGGACCAGGAGACAGTGTGAGGGACCAGGAGACAGTGTGAAGGACCAAGAAACGGCGTGAAGGACCATGCGACAGATTGATGGACCAGGAGACAGTGTGAGAGACCAGGAGACAGTGTGAGGAAGAGGAGACAGTGTGAAGGACCAGGGGACAGTATGTGGGAACAGGGGACAGTATGTGGGAACAGGGGACAGTATGTGGGAACAGGGGACAGTATGTGGGAACAGGGGACAGTATGTGGGAACAGGGGACAGAATGAGAGGCTAGAGACAGTGTAGGAAACCGAAGATAGTGTGAGAGACCGGAGACAGTGTCAGTGGGGGAGATAGAAAAGTCAACTTTTCTACCACAACATCACCAGACAATAAGGAGATGGGTAGCCACCGTTGTGTGGCCACCAGGGGGGCCTTAGGCGGATGTGTAGGATGGGAGTGATGAGAGTTGGGAGAAGGGAGGAAGGTGGAGGGGATTGGTGTAGGGTGCTTGTGCTAGTGGTGGGTAGGATGGATGTAGGGTGCCTGTGATAGTAGTGGGGAAGGATTGGTGTAACGTCCCAAGTAATAGTGGTGGGGGAGTGGTATCGGGTGTGTCATATTTAGAGTTGCAGGAGTGCACTGTATCTTCAGTGGTAGTTCCACAGGACACTTGTGCAGCATGGACAGTAGCCTCGTGACATTTCTCCAATGGGTTCAGCATATCATTATCTTTCATTTCCAGCAAACCCATGAACACACGTGTCTTGTAGCCTAAAGTCGACTGATACTGTTTACCCCAGAGGACTTTACAATCGATGCAGCATGAGCTCTCCCCCCGTGTCATCCTTAATTCTTACACGTCCCATTGAATGTGTGCCTTTCTGTCTTTTTATATAAAGACCGTGTCAGAATGACGAAGCTTCTTCAACTAGTGGTCGCTTGTAATTTCATTAAACACATGAACGGGTATTTCATTGCAATTTGCGCTACAATAAATCCAGAATCTAATGTAACTCTTTGGTCCAGTTTTCAAGCAAACGGTTTGCTCAACTATAAGTTGAACATTTGACACAGTCATTACAGTGTATACTTCTGATTTAGAAGTGATTTTCGTGCTCTCCACCACTGGTGGTGGTGGAGAGGATGAGGGGATGACTGATGGTGGTAGGGAAGGGAAAGGCGGTGACTGGTGGTGGTGGGAGGATGAGGAGGTGATTGGTGGTTATGGGAGAGGGAAAGGTGGCTGAAATGGCAGGTGGAAAATGGTTGCGAGAGAGTCAATATTGGCAGCCCACCATCCATACACGCTCTCTTGTTGCACGATGTTGATAATGCAACCTTCTTCCCCTCCTCCTCCCCCTCTTCTCTTCTTCTCCTCTTACCTCTGGGCCACTCATTTACATCTTTCTCCGAGAGAAAGTTACCTTCGCTTTTACCAGAGTTATCTCGCTTTATTCAACAAATAAGCCAGACAGGAATTTTATTTCATTTTTCTTCCTATCATCATGTGATTTAGTTTACTTGTACTTTACACGAGATCAAAAAAGTATCTGTGAACATTTCGAGTGAAACAATCTGACAACACCGACGATGGATATTGCAAATTGCTATATATAGCTTGCTAGCGAAATTTTCTGTTTTATCTATAATAAGTTTTGTTATTATACGCACATTCAGAGTAAATTAGATCAATCTTGTGAGCAATGTGTAGCGTTGTTCATGTTAGCGGTTATGTTGTGGCAAAGGTGTACTGATCACTTATGAAACCATAAAAACCCAATGTGCGGTACTTCTTTATTTGTTTTCATGTCAGTGTAGCTCTTTCTTAACATTCGCCTATAAGCACCACATTTCAAAGGCCTCCAATTGCTTTCTGGTTTCTGCGAAATTGTTCACGCTTCTGACCCATACATCAGTCCTTGCCATATAAAGACTTTCAGCAGCCCTTTACTCAAATAAAAAGCCTAAAATATAATGAATTAACGCGAGTGAAAGGAAGTTGTCACTCTTCAAGTATCACTTTCTGCCAAAATCTTCTATTGAGTCGTCCCTCCCTCAAGTGGTGGAATCTGTGTTTTACCTTCTCAATATGTAAACTCTTTGAATTTCGCCAAATCCTGACTAAGACATTAATGACTTCTAACCTGCTTTACCAAAAACTGTAACTAAACTCAAGGGTACTGCGGTGGTCCTTTCCAGTTTTCCTTGCGACGTAAGAAACAAGTTGGCTGAACTGTCGTAGGGACATGCCACGTATGCAGCCTACTCAGTGATTTTACTATTCCTTCCATGACTAAGCACGTTCCTAACATGTGTCCCACTATTTTGCTCTTCAAAACAAGACACATATTAATAAAACAAAAATATAAGATGAAAAATAGAACAGAACCTTTCCTTATCATCTACGATTCTGTGAAATTTTTAGGTTGGAACGATAGTCTCGGGGTCGAACCCAAGGCCATGGTCATTCTAGTGAGTCACTTTGTGCTAGGAGAGCAGCTACTGGCAGAGACAAATGTCGAGATATAACTGCTAAGACCCTCAATAAGAAATGACACGTCGAAAAACAAGACATGCTTTTCCTTCTTTTATAGACCCTCCCATCTATTCTTCTCAACCCGATAACGAGTAATAAGAGAAGAATCAGCTGCTGCCACAGTTATTGGTCTAACCGAACCCATCTGTCGGAAACCGAGAGTATGGGGTCCACTCCCTAAGATTTTACAACGGATTCCATCACTAGAGCACCCACCCTTCGGAGGGAGAAAGTTGGGCACCAGGTGTTTTATTTAAGTTCTTTTATAAACCGAAGTTTCAGAATCAATTTCAACTAAAAGAAGGGAGAAAGAGGGGTTCATTGCTTCAAGTACTAAGCAACTATATAAGTTCTAGGGAGAACACAACTCTCCTGCATACATTGAGGAGACGGCATCGAACAGACAATATAAAAAAATCCATATCTGATAGTTTCGCAGAGACATAATCAAAGTGAACGAGTAACTCTTCAATGTTTATTCAGCGTTTACCCTAACATTACTGTTAAGTGTTCATGAAAACTGTTTAGCCAAAACATAACAGGAAAATTTCATCACAAGCAGAATCACTTCTCTCAAGTTAAAGCTTACTATGATAAATTTTGCTTCTTGATACCAGTCGCGACGGAAACGTTAGGCGTCAGAAGCAATACTCTATAGTATGCGAATACTCTTCAGAGACGAAGTCCAGTCTCTACTTTCTCACACTTATCTTGTCCCATCCCTGACTGACAGCTGCCTTCTAAACCAACATACCAGCGAGTGGAAGAGTACAAGAGAAAGCCACAGACATTCAACACTTGTTTAAACACCGGAGGATTGCTCACTGAAGCCTTCGAGGGGCGCACGCTTCAGAGAGGTTCTCTAAATCGATTCCTGGAAAATTGAGTCATCCACTTTACACGACAGAGAGATGAATGGATTATCCAAAACATAATATCCCACGATACACCATACGGGTGAATCACCTTTAAGTATGATGTATCACCTTTAATACTGTAAGTGTGGTGTATCACCTTGAGGAAGTGTTGTTTATCACCTTGAGGAAGTGTTGTTTATCACCTTGAGAAGGTGTGGTTTATCACCTTGAGGAAGTGTGATGTTTCACACTTTCATAAATTAATACACCATACTTCAAGGTGATATATCACCTTGAAGAAGTGTATAAATGATCTGTCAACAACGAGCAGTAGCCTGCACTTATACCTGGTACAGTCGCTGATGCATTTTGGGAGATGTGGCAACTCTGTGGAATGGTTATCTAGCTTATCCTTAGACTGGTTACTATTGTTATGTTCCTTAGGGCCATTCTGGGAGTTTTAATACGATGTAAACAAGCACAGAGTTGTACCAAGTATGATTGTAGGCAACTATACATAAACGATAGATTATTGTATTTTCTGATAAACACAAAAAGAGATAATATTACGAAGGTAACTGATATGCACGTTAAAAGTACATTATAATAAATGTACCCTTATATACAAGAATAGACTTACTTAAAGTACCAGGAACATCCTGAAACACACACAAGTATACTCACCTGTCGTCCTTGCGTGTGGCTGTAGAGTGTATGGCGGAGAGCTCGTCACTACAGCGGGCTCGCGGCATGATGCTTATGCTTGTGTACCTTCTTCTCTTGGTCTTGCTCTTACTTCACGCTACCACTGTTCCTTAATCTATGCTTTTCCTGCTTTTACTTTACTGTTTCTGTCCTCTGTTTTGTGGTTTGGGGTTCTATGTTTCTGTTTCTACACTTTTTGCTCTCCCTACTCCTATGATATGCCTCTTCCTCCTCCTTTTCTCCTTTTCCTGCTCCTTTATCACTATTACCGTGCCTTTGTTATATTATTTTCGCCTCTGTTAGTATTTGCTTTCCTGTTACTGTTCCTCTTTTCTCTGCCGTTGTTGTTCTTGTTCAGGAACGTTGGAGACACGATCAGTCGTGCTGTGAAAAAAGTAAATAGAACGGGAATCAAATTCAACGTAAGTGTAGTGGTTGTAATTATAATGTTATTACTGCGCTTCAACAACGAAGGTCTTTAAACGCGTAGCAAGGTTAGTAATACACTAGTTCAACAACAATAAAAAATATGAAAGATAGAACATAAGACTCAGATTATTTTCCAGCCTGCTCCTGGTTCAGCCACACCTCCACCATCCATTCAAGTTAACGGTATTACCCGCTCTAATGTTACCCACTTTCAGTATCTTAGCTCTCACCTGTCTACCACCGCGGACATCGATGAAGAGATTCAGTATCGGATCAGATATGCATCTCAAGCCTTTGGCAGCCTCCGTACCAGTGTTTTCAGTTCTAGGGAACTGAAATTATTTACAAAGCTACACGAATATCGAGCAGTAGCCCTCCCCACCCTGCTGTATGGCAGTAAGAAATGTATCACTTGCAGGAGGCACCTCAATGCACCTGAAAACTTTCACCAACGGAATATGCGTTCCGTTCTCCGAGTTCGCAGGGAAGACAAGAGAACAAATACCAGTATTTTCGCTGACACCAACTGTAGGAGCATCGAGGCTACCATTATCCATGAACAACTACGTTGGACTGGCCATGTTACCCAGATTGGACGACAGTAGACTACCTGACTAATGGCAAACTTAACGGTGGCGGGCAATGAAAAAGGTATAAGGATAGTTTCCAGAAAACCTGAAAATGTGTCAAATTGACCCCCTCACTTGGGAGACAAGCACTCCACACCGTAATGCATGGAAAAGCACCACACGAGAGGGTGTCAGTACTTTCGATTTAGCCCGACTGCATACCGAGGCGGACAAGCGCCAGCGCCGGAAAGACGCTGCCGCAGCCCCTCACGCACTAGATATAGGCCTGCACACGTGCAACATCTGTGGACAGCCCTGCCAATCCCGTACCGGCCTCTCGAATCACCTCAAAGATGACCAACGAAGGTGAAATTTTTATTGACTCCTCATTATATCATAGCTGGATAATCGTCATACTCGATTTCGAGTGACAACAAAATAGTACTAGGAGTAGTAGTATTAGTGTGTGTGCGCGTGTGTGATTTAGTATTTTTTTTTTACTTCCATTGCCACTGTCAAAACGTTTCACATATCCAACAATACCATAGTGTATATATATTTTGTTTGCTCCTGGAGTATTGGAATACGTCTATTATAATTTTATGTATCTACACTTGATTTACTTTCATGTGGCACCATACCAAACGCGGTTGAGTTTTTTCTATTACTTTTTCTTGATCTGAAGTTATTTTGACACTAGTATGTTTGCTGGGCGCCAGCGAAATGAAAAATAGTAGATTCGGCTTACAGCAACACCCTAAAGTTTATCCCAGGGAAAGCCTGTTGGTATATACTTGTTTACAATATTATATTCACATAATTAACGCGAAAGCTATATAACAGTGAACACATATCTATATAACCTCAGGTGTTACACATAACACATTCCCAGTAGAAAAAATCTGGCGAAAGTTTAGCAACATTCCATATCTTCCTCCCTTCCACCTCCACACCTCTCACTCGACAATTTCCTTTCCCTTCCTTATCCTGTCCCCTCTAACTCAAAGTGTCTGGAACGACATGTAAGTAATAACAACACTGGCAATGTCTGTCATTGCGCAAGTCGATACCACTTCAAAGGTCTCTTGTCCTGGTCTGGGAAGCACCACAAGGAACAGGTGTGACGTTTATCGATCTCAAGTGACGGCACCATTGCGAAGCTCGCCGCCTGGTATTGTATTGTAAGTAGTATTGATTATAACAGAAATACAACCCATCTCTTTCTTACCGGGAAACTGTCAGATCGTGTGAGCGGTAACTCTATTTATGAAACTGAAACTATTAGGGCAGTGGCTCAGCTGACATCACGAGTCAATTCCTCTTATTCTTAGTTTCAATTATTTTAACGTGCATTTGAATTATCTAATTTGTTTCATAACTACAAATATTCCTGACTGTGCATACTAATTCCAGGTGAACGAAGGTCACATCATCCTCTGTATGCTAATAAGATATACCAAAGACACTTAAAAAGCGAAGTTAAGTTAAACGTTCTTTATATTATTTATACAGATGAAACTGATTATAATTAATGTGGAAATCAAATTTGATCTAAGGCGCTCGGCATATAAATATGTATAAGTAAGGAACTATAGTGAGAAATAAACCACCATTATGAGTCAAGCCAAACAGCCTTGAGGGAGATAATAATACGTTTCGTTTATCTTAGATTAGATAGGAATCAACGAGTGACCCCTGATGATGCAACACTTAACAATAAGATCATAAGACTATAATTCACCTAACCTCACTGTGTCGCGGCGCCAGGCGATGAAGGGAGGTGGTTGAGATAAAGGATTGACACGATGAAGACTGACCAGTGCTAATGTGCGGACAATGAAGGCCACGTGCACCTCACACCCACCTGACCACACTTACATATGGCCTCTCTAGTTATTGTACATCTCTTACACATTACTCCCACTCACAGCTGCTCCGGGTATTGTATCCGTGCAGTTAATTACAGCTAAGACCAAGACATATAGCAAGACAGATCAATAACTCCACATCTACACTAACCGTGCATGTAAGTTGGTAATGTTTAGTGCGAGGGAAGTAATTACTGATAATTGTAAGATATATGCATCGCTAATTAAAAGAGCAAAAGAGCCACCCATTAGAAGGACTGTGGCGTTTTGAGAGATGATAAAAGAGGAAAGATATTAAATGGCCAGCTTCAGAGAGTTACCATTACTAAATATTTATAGAATAAGAAAACATTATAATCTCGCTGATAATTTGTTGATATACTTTATAAATATCATTCGTTTACAGCTGCAAAACTCCCTTAGGTTGGTAACACCGTGCAACTCGGAAGCAAATAATATACTGTAATTAAGTGAGTCCACGACAAGGATTGAATGTCAAGTGGCAGGCCGACAAGTACCTGTCCCTGATACATCACGCTCTTGCTGTACATTATATATATATATATATATATATATATATATATATATATATATATATATATATATATATATATATATATATATATATATATATATATATATATATATATACCAAGCTGGATTCGGTAAGATGCTACTCCGACCACGTAAGTGGCACGGGTAATCCCCAATTGGAGGTTCACAGCGCCATCAGCTTGATGAACAGCCTTTGTTTGAAGTATAACAAAGTCTAGGATTGCTTTTAGTGTCCTTGTGGTAAGGTGGTAGCAATCCCTGGTCACACTGAGCATGTCGTCTGTACATGATCCATCGGTGGTATGTCCACTTTGGTTGAAAATGAGAGAGAAGCAAAATTCTATTTAAGATCCAAACTCAGAAAGGTAACAAGAACAAGTAAACCAAGTGAGCGAAGGGAAAAACGAAATGAGAAAATTACCTCGAAGAAAAGTTAATCAAACAACCACAGTCCCTCCATGTTGAACCAACATAAATAACTACAGGATCAGAAATTCAATCGAAACCCGAATTTAGGAAGATTTTTAGAAGCCTCTTAACGCCCAGGAGGAGCACTTCAATAACAACGTTCCAACAATGTCTCGCCTCGTAAGCTTGTTGAGAAGTGATAACGGACTAAGGCGATTACACTACGACCAGGGTTTACCTAAGTTATTTCATCCTCTCTCTTCTCCCCCCTCCCCACCAGCCACCCAATATCTTTCAATTCCCTCTACTTTATCCCTCCATTCCCTTCCTCCCCCTCCACCTTCCACCCCAAATCTTCCAATTCCTTATAAGTTATCCCTCTATTTCCCTCTTCCTGCTCTCCTTCCCACCTCCCACACCACCAACCGAACAGCCACCCATAGTCAGCAGAAGGGTAGGGTGGGAGAGAGGGGAAGGGGGAGATCTTATTTGGTAGAAGGAAGAGAAGAGAGAGGGTGGTAGAAGGAGGAGGAAGAAGAGAAGAAGAGAGAAGGTGATAGAAGCAGGAGGAGGAAGAGAAAAAGAGAGAGAGAGTGGTAGAAGGAGGAGGAAGAGAAGAAGAAAGAGGGTGGTAGAAGGAGGAGGAAAAGAAAAAGAAACGGTGGTAGAAGGAGAAGGGAGACAAGAAGAAAGAGGATGGTAGAAGGAGAGGAAGAAGAGAGAGAGAGGGGGGTAAACAGAAGAGGAAGAGAAGAAAAGAGAGGGTGGTAGAAGGAGGAGGAGGAGAGAAGAAGGGAGAGGGTGGTGGTGGTGGTGGTATGGGGTAGTGCTGTCCTTGGGTGTAATACTAGTATAGTGTTGACCCCGTGTGTGTTGACCCCATGGGTGTTGCTAGTGTAGTTTTGACCCTGGGTGTATTGCTAGTATAGTGTTGACCCTGGTGTGTGATATTAGTATAGTGTTGACCCTTGGTGGTGATACTAGTATAGAGTTGACTCTGGGTGTGATGCTAGCGTAGTATTTACCTTAGGGGCATTTATCCACCGTTAGATCATCTCAACAGTCGTTAAGGGACAGTAGTAGGTCGACAGTGCAATATACACCACCTCCCGAGTCTAATATCATCAGGACAGCCCACCTCGTTCCTCCCCTGCCACAGTTTACTTTCTCTGCCTATTGTTCACACTAGACATTTTTATGTGCCGAAATGAATTTTTTTTTTGTATTTATAATGTTTTGTGTATCCTATATGACCTTCCACTGTTTCATTTTTTTTATCTCGATACATTTTTCTTGTTAAAATCCTTCCAAGATCTATAATTAGTTAAATCTTGCAAATCCTAAAACATGGAATATCTAATAAGGAAGTTATACTGGAAGTGTTAAACGGGACGCAGATAGCTACATTTGGTATTTATCTTATGGTCTCCTCAATGATGGGATGACCACACTCTCGCCACTGTGACGTGTGTGTCGTCTGTATTGTTTACTTTTTTGTATATTTCTGATTGCGACAGTACAAAGTATAATGGTCTCACATGGGTGAACTCCCGTT